AGGTAAATATACTATCATGGTTACATTGTAGGTAAATATACTATCATGGTTTCATTGTAGGTAAATATACTATCATGGTTACATTGTAGGTAAATATACTATCATGGTTTCATTGTAGACGATGTCTGTTTTTACTGTATTTTTTATTTTTTTTTTCTCAGGGAACTGGTCTGGTTTGACAGCAACATTCACGTTCCAACGTACTTACAGTTTTTACGTGATTCAGATCTACGGCCCTAGCGCTTTGATTGTAGTCCTGTCGTGGATTTCCTTCATGTTACCACGTGACCATCCTCCAGCTAGAGTAACATTGGGTGTCACGTCAGTACTGACGGTCGTCACGGTATTTACTATGTCTAACCAAGCAATGCCACGGGTTTGTAGCCTTTTTAACTTACTTTTGACAAGTGACGTAAATCTAACTGGCCTTTTTAGAGGGTAGAGGACTGGGGAGAAGTTTCTAAAAACTTCACTCAAGAAAGACCAATCTCTTGCGAGAAAAAGTGATATCTTCACATGTTACCATGGATACTCTGTTCAAATTATTTTATTTATTGTCTTTTTGAGATAAATTACTGCGCTTAATCGTGGTCGTTCAAAAGCAGTTTTCATGGCGCTTGAGATTGACTATACCAACTCTGTACAGTCAAGAACTTCAATGGAAAGCAATTAAATTTAAACTTCAGTTAAATTTTGCAATGTCGCTAACGTGGAGTTGCATGCTAACAATGCATTGCGGTCAAGAAATCCACTATTCAATAATCAATTTGTCAACGTTTTGTGAAATTGCTGTAAATGGCAACTGAATTGCAATCCTTTAGAGACTCGTAAAATCTCGAAACCATGTGTGATAAGAGAGAGGTCTGGGCCAAGTAAAACCCGACATGTAATTCTGACTTGTGTACAGTTTTAAGCTAGCTGGAATTTACACAAAATATGTCAAACTTAAGAAATGTAGTCTATAAATTTTGATGCGATCTTTCTTGTGGTGGAGTTGATAACTAAATGTTGGAAACTGGTTCCCAGTTCTCTACGTGTTTAAGAGAAGTGTCTTTGTGATTGGCTATTTAGGCTGTGACTGACGCGAATCTAATTAATTTTTGTGATTGGATATTTTAGGTGAATTATGTGAAGGCTATTGATAAATACCTTATCACGTGTTTCCTGTTCGTGTTTGCATCGCTTGTTGAGTACGCGATTCTACTGACTTTCATCCATCGTCAGCATCAACACAAATCCCAGGAAATTAATAGAAGAAAGGTACTCGGTTCCTTTGATGTCCGATGTTTCATCCGAAAAAATCAATAGATGTTGAATTAATGATGACTGTTTGTTCAGACGTCTACACTCCTTATGTTATCCCTAATATTTGCATTATTAGATTGCTTGCTTTGTTTTAGTCAGCTGTGTCCCCTAAAATTAATGTTGGGTGTCAACCGAAAAATATTTAGAAAGGGGACTTTAAAAAGGAGTGTCAGGAGTTGGGCGTGTCATGGTGATAGGGGGAATCGCTCTCGGCATAGACATTATTTTGCCAAAGTTTATAGACGGGATGAGGAGAAGAACTGTTGCACATTTCTAAAGCCAAAGACTTCAATACGCCCCACTCCGATATCCAAGAAATCATGGAAATATTCCTCATACCCCTTTGGCGTAGTTCTCGATATTGCTGATTGTACCCTAATTCCTTTCATTTTAGCTAACCGGGTGAAACAATGTGCACCCCTTGAAAACCTTCGCCACAGCCAGGTTTAGAATAAAAGATAACTTGCAATAATCTTGCTTCAGATACTAACAGACAGTCCCTGTGATTGAATTGTTATTCTTAGTTTTCAATTGTTGGCTTTAGTTTGTTTAATTGCTTTTCTTTTAGAAAACATCTTCAACAAGTACAATAACAAATGGTGAGCCGGTAAAGATACCCAAGGAACTAATATTCTCGAGAAGATTCGACCTAACAAAGTCAACTATAAATCACAGGAAATCCTCGCAAGCATTGAAAGAATTTTCTAAGAATCCAGACTTTAAGTTCTGTCATGATGAAAACCGTTGTTTTTACAGAGATGAAAATATCGCTGCAATAGATCGCTACTCGCTCAGACTCTTCCCCCTCGCTTTTACCCTCTTCAATCTTTACTACTGGATTTGCATTTTTAAATTTCCTTATTTGGTGATTTCAAGATGACATCATCACACGTGATAAGGCACGTGATAAGGCACGTGATAAGGCAGAATACCTGGAGGAACCAGAAGATGGCAAAAGGGAATGGCATAGAAAATATAGTGTTAAATGGATAGATTTAGGGCTGTGAAAAAATGTTATTTCAAATGAACAATGCCCATGCTTTAGTTGTTTCTTTTGAAACCCTAAAAACCTTTTCACAACCGCCAAATCGGCGACAAAATTGGCGACAAAATGAGCGATCGCAATCTATGGCTCATGTTCAGAGCTGGTTTCAAAAATACATTTACTGAAAGTAGGATCATGTCCCCCATGGGCCACCGTACGTCATAACCCAATAAGTTAAGAAGCAACAGCTAGAAATTCTACTATTCCAAAATTTGAGCCAAAATAACTCAACAGAGTTGTTGCTATGGGACGTGTTTCATTGACAACGATATATATTTTAGGTTGTGATATCGAAGTAATTTGTGAAGAGGTATTTTTATGTTTATTGTATGTAAACTTTACTCAAAAGTACTTTGAATATTTTAATTTAAAATACCTATTAACATTAAATTGACACTCTAAATCTACCTTTATAGTTACCAACTGATTTTGAGACCTGTTTGATCTTGAAAAGTTTTCAGTTTTGTTTGTTTGTTTATTTGTTGTTGTTTTTTGTTTGTTGTTGTTTTTTTCACTGGATAGTTACCAATCCTTCTCTAAGAAAGTCAAGAAAACATTTGGCATTATAAACCAAAGTAATTGGTATGAAATGTCGTTAAGTTTTTTGTTAAAATTGACACTAAAAAGTAGTCATTGAACGGTGAAGATATTAGTAGAGGCGAGAGATCTTTTCAACACTCGAAGATAAAATCCGTATCTCGTCGGGCCCATGTAATATTCTATTTATCATATAATAAACTTTTATTCTAACCTCCAATATCAAGAGATGCGTACCACAAATGTGTGGAAATAACAACTTTACGTTTTGGAGAAATAGAGTGCACGCCACATAAGCATGAAACAATGCTTAACCAGTGGCGGATCCAGGGGGGTTCCATGGATTCCTAGGAACCCCCCTCAATCATAAAAAAATAAAAAATAAATGATAAATGGAATAAAATGAAAACGCATCGTACAATGAATTTTTATTCAATACATTCACACTACATTTGCTACAGTTCGAGAGGCACAGTAAAAAAGTTTCGTTTTAGGAACTACAGCGTACAACAATCAGAAATGCAATAAAGATGAATAAAAAAATGGTCCCATGTGGATTCATCTTCATTGTGTTCTGGTTCATTGATACTGACAAGATTAACAGAGCAAAAAGAAGCAGCTATATGATATAAAAGCGGCTCGTGATTTACCGATCTTTTCTCGTGTTCTCCCAACAATCCCTCGCGGTTTCTTTCGCCAGTAAACCGCTTCAAGCTATCGTTCATTGCTTAAGTAAACTTTTATATCACCAAGAACAAAAATTTGGAACGTTCAAAATGTAATGTTGAAGTTTCAGAGGTCTTCAGTTGTGTTCCATTGAATCCCGGCAAATCTTTAAGAACGGCTAGTACCTGCCTGGGCCGGGTTGTTCAAAGCCCGATTAGCGTTAATCCAGGGTTAACTCCATAGGTTTTCTAAGAGTTAACCCAGGATTAGCGCTAATCGAGCTTTGAACACCCGACCCTGGTCTTTAAATCACTTACGTTAAGAATTTCAAGAGATTTTTTTTGTGGTGTTTATCCGAATACTAGTAATGTCTGTCGGATATGGAACTGTACACCTTTTCCTGTGATGATTTGGAAAACAATATACGACAATTGAAGAGCTCGATAAAAGCCGTCACATTACATCGAGTACATCGGTATTCGGCCGCAAACCAGCACTCGGCACCCACCCCACCCCCATCAAATAATAATTCCACTGAAGAATGATTATGCAAACCCTGTATCCTTTGCTAATTCCGAAGCTGAGCTCTTATTGGCTCGCTGCTCCCTAAGGATTTTGGTGACGTCATATATTACCATAGAACTTCACCGAATAGACTATCCCAATTAGACATTAGATATCTATAAGTGTCTTCATAGTACGATGGTCTAAGAGGGTAGCTAAAGGTATGCTCTAGTGGGCGGCTACCCCCTCACTCCCTGGCCTTTTGGTTAAGACTAAGTTTTATGTTCACTCGGGATAGCGTGGAAGAGCCGAAATCTCTAACCGTAACGTAAGCCGATTCGACGCCTCAGCTTCACAGAATGTCTCGGGGGAATCGTCCCATCTTTTTAGTCTTTTATTTTGATTATTTCTTATGTATTCCGGGGGGGGTGCATCTTCTACTGAAGTAAAAGTCCTGAGTTCGAGTCCTGCTGCTGGAATTTCTATTATTTTTTTTTACTTGTTTCTTTTTGGTTTGTTTCTTGTTTTTTTTTTCTTGTTTGTTTTTTTTTCTTTTCTTTTTCTTTTCTGTTGCTACTTTGTTTGTTCTCCTTTAGAGATTTTTTCCTTTCAACTCAAAGATATCAAGGACTAGCAAGGAACGCCTGCTACAAGTGGATGGTTACAATTCGGCCACTCAACACGTTAACACTGCAACCGTGCAACTGTACAAAATCTAAATAGTACTAATTTGTACTAATAGTGGACCTAAAGCAAGACGGTATTGAATGCTTCAATTGTAATTCATTTTGCGTACTTTGTTTTATTTTAGCGGGAGTTTTCAAACGTACAAGAAAAATCCCAAATGGTATCTAAGTAAGGAAAAAACCTCTTATAACTTTATTAGCAATCTAAAAAAAGATGTCGATTCACATCATAACGTTCTATTTCGAGCACCTTTGGTTTCTTGTCACACTTAGCGTTACGCACGGCTCCCACTCAAGTAAGGTCTTCGATGCACTAAATGAGCGGGAGTTTACAAACGTACAAGAAAAATCCCAAAAGTAGTATCTAAGTACGGAAAAACCGCTTATAACTTTATTAGCAATCTAAAAAACGATGTCGATTCATGTTGTAACGTTCTATTTCGAACACCTTTGGTTTCTTGTCACAATTAGCGTTACGCTCGGCTCCCGCTCAATTAAGGTCTTCGATGCACTAAATGAGCGGGAGTTTTCAAACGTACAAGAAAAATCCTCAAAATAGTATCTAAATAAGAAAAAACCTTTTATAACTTTATTAGCAATCTAAAAAAAGATGTCGATTCACATCATAACGTTCTATTTCGAGCACCTTTGGTTTCTTGTCACACTCGGCTCCCGCTCAATTTAGGTCTTCGATACACTAAATGAGCGGGAGTTTTCAAACGTACAAGAAAAATGAAATGATAAATGAAATAAAATGAAAACGCATCGTACAATGAATTTTTATTCAATACATTCACACTACATTTGCTACAGTTCGAGAGGCACAGTAAAAAAGGTTCGTTTTAGGAAAATGCGAAAAGAAAGAGGAACCCCCCTTTGAAAAATCCTGGATCCGGCACTGTTACTAGTAACTAATTAGAGCCTAATAAGATTTAGTTATCAACTAACTAAGAATTTAGTGAGGCATAAGGCAAAGACAATTTCCTTTCTGGCATTGTGTTCATGCCCCAGTGAATTCTTAGTTAGTTGATAACTAAATCTTATGAAATGTTGTTAGTTAAGAATTGTTTCGCGCTTTTTTGGCGTGCACTCTATATGTATTTATAGATAATTATATGT